GCAAAATTATATAATCGCGCATTTTTTTTGTTTTCTCTTTTTTTGTGCACAATGAAAAAAAAACAAAAAAAAAACTTGATGGCTTCGCCCGGGTTCGAACCGGAGACCTTCAGTGTGTTAGACTGACGTGATAACCAACTACACCACGAAACCTTTGGTTGAATTGGGTTCAGTAGTTTCTTTCTTTTATATGATGCTCTTTGAGAGAACCCTCCCTGCATGTGAGCGTGTCTGCTCTGTCCGCACAACAAGCGGCCGGGATTGATGGAGCAAAATATCTCGAACTATGCTTGCATTGCACGCACATGACAAAACTTTCGTTTCTCTTTTCTCTTTTAGATATAGATGGCAGAAAAAACAAAGACAAGATTTCGGTCCAGCCAAACGACTTGTACATTCAATGCAAATTCAACTAAATAAATAAAAACCAAAATGATAATTTGCAATGTCGTGTGTTACTGAAGCTACTTGAATATTTAGACACAAAGCTCAACATTTCAACTCGTACTCACTCGCAAAAAAAAACATTTCAACTCATACTAACGTGACTAAAATCCGGTCGGCGAAATCCTCACTGGAATCGAAAACCCACAACGAGCTTCGAGACGACCTCTCTTTGAGCAGCAGTGCTTCGTTGTGCAAAACACCGCAGCGACGTCAGTGCATGTAGGCACTGGCGGAGCTACAGCCAGGCAAAACTGTGCTATGGCCCGCCCATGTTTAATGGAAATACGCTAGGATATGCAAGCAAATGAGGCATGGAATTAAAACAGCCGAACTTCTCTTCAATTTGGCCCGCCCAGGTTTTTAATTGTAGCTCCGCCACTGCATGCAGGCAGGGGATATCGTTGTCGATCGTTGAAAATGCAGTATGCCGCACGTGCTCCTTGTGAGGCTAGTCATAGTGGGAGTAACTTAGGTAGTAACATAGCGCACGTCGAGAATTTTTTGCTTATGTGGCAAGTAGTTAATGAGAAGTAGTAACATAATATGTTACTGTAACATAGCGCTTTTCAAGACAACATGAGTCTACAAGCTATTAAATGAGGCCACATATGACACTAGTACTATGTTACTTTGCACTATGAAAATAGTAACTTAGACTAATGTCATGCATATGACACTAGTCTAAGTTACTCCTCACTATGACCAGCCTGAGACTTTGGCGTGCCTATCTAGTCTAGCTATAGGTATGCAGTAGCTAACTATAGTTAACCATCTGGTGAGTGGTGACTGATCGACGACGGCATGGATATGCTGTCCGTCAGAATATCCATCCCTCTCTTCCATTTCTCCATCTCTCCATCCAAGAACGTCACCGACAGCTGCTCCAGCAAAAAAAAGAAGTAAATTCAGCCCAATTAACGGCCTTTGATCGGCTTTGCTTGCCCTGCCGGTAAACACAACTAGTTAAAAAAAGAAGAAAATAGAAGAGATGCTTAGCTTAGTGCTCACAACTAGTCATATATTAAGACGCACCCACCGAATCAGATTGTTTATAAGCACAAGAAATATGCCACTTACATACATGTACCAGTTGAATCGAACCGAACCGAATGGTCCGCGCGCATATGCCACATCAGTAAGTGCACACACAAGACATGTGTATCTTGATGACTTGGCATCTATCTCATTCTCTTCCCCTCCCTAGGTGCAGCCTGCAACTCAACCAACAACAGCAAGCAAGGAATTATATTTCTCGACAAAAGGGTGGATTTTATTAGCTCAAAAAGGAGCATCAAAAAGATATAAACTTAAAGAGCACACACCCGACTTCTGCATAGTTAGGATGCACACAGCCTAACACAAAAACAAGGCGACAAATAGCAAAGTCATATAAGACCAAAGCTATGCAGAAGGGTTGCAAACACGGCGACAAGGAATTAATATATATATTGCATCATCATTCATCACCATCCCTCACCTCGCTACAAACGAACACGCGCTCATTTCTATCATAAATTAAAGTGTAGGCGCATGCACAAGGGTTGCAAGTTGGGTTCTACACACATACCATGTGCGCTGGAAAGAAAGAATAAAGCTATAAATAGCCAGTTTGATCCATGTCCCATGTTAGTGGTGCATGACTCAGCAACTTGCCGAGGCATAATTCAAACACACACACTCGGCTCCGAAGGTCCTTCTCAATCTTATCAATTTAATCTAATTGCCAACTCCATCCATAAATGCCTCAGTTGAAGAAGAAACACCAGTCACCAGACCTGGAACCAAAGTCCGTCGAAAAATATGCAGACATTCTTTTCTTCCTCTTGAAAACCTTTTAGTTTATTGACGGGCAAAGGAGCACGGGTGAACCTGAAGACGTTGACAGTTGTGAGATGACGATCAAGTCTCCAGCAGGAGCTGAGAAGGTGTGTGATCTGATAACGATCAGAGACCTTGTCTTTCTTTGCGAATTCACTCCTTCATTCATTCCAGATGATCTGAAACGCAGCAAGGACCTAGCTCACGATCAGGCAAACACCCCAAGGTTCCAGGGATCTGTTCACGACGGCCACCAGTTTGGATCTGCCGCTGCTACAACCGCGCCATGGCCAAACAATCTTCAGGAAAAACGTAGCGTCGGGCAGTGGTGAATATCAAAGATGGGCCAACTGCAATAGGTAATGATCGATGGGCATAAGGGGCAGTGACTGATGAACCAGACTGCGTTGACAAATTAAGGCTACTGGAGCCACAAGGCAATGATCGATGCTGCTGGTGCTCTAGGTGCATCTGTAAGCGCTGAATTCTACAGCAAAAGAAAAGGACAGACAACAGAAATGGCGCAATCAGAGCACAAGTCAAACACCTGGAGTTGCATTGCAACCAGGAGCTAAGAAATCATATAATCTGATACGACTACATGGCCTGTATGGATAGCTTGTCTTTCTTACCCTTCTTTCGAACTCATTCATTCATTTCAGATGGCCTGAAATGCATAACCGCAGCGGGGACCTAACACAATCAGAAGTTGCAAGCCATTCAGAGAGCGAGCGGGTTCAGGACTGAAAAGCTACTGAGATACTGACTGAGATTAAGCAAGCCCAAGCAAAGCTTTCGATTATTTATCATGTCTGGAAAACCAAACAGGAGCCGTAAATGTCAATTGTCTGTTTTGGTAGTCACGATGACAAGAAAACCAAACAGAACCAAACTAGGCCGTAGACTGCATAGCTACGAATTCATTCGGTCATAGACAAAATCAGACACTTGTTGCGCATGACCAGAAAACACCCACGATTCCTTCTGAAACTACTCTATACTAAACAAATGATGATGATCTGTTTTGTGGTTGCCCTGCCCTAGGATTCTGGGAGGTAAGAAAACCAAACAGGAACTGCAACACATCATTCAGTGAGATCAGGCAGGGCTGAGATTGAGAGGCTACTGCTGACCGTGATGTAGTACTCATGCCAAGCAAAGCAAAACAGCTTTGGGATTATGATGATTAGTTAGTGCTGGCAAGATTAAGAGAAGCTCTAGTTAGCCGCCATGAACGTCGGCAATCCCCTACTAGCAGCAGGCATAACAAACATTCTCGCAAAAAGAAACTGCAGGCATAACAAACAAACATATTTATACGAGCAGGCTTGCACCGTAATTTTCCCTTATTTATGTGAGGAAGCTTGCACTGCAATTTTCCCTTATTTATGTGAGCAAGCTTGCACTACCTGTACTAATTACACAGGGCTAGATGCCTTGGTGATCGCCCGGTCTAGAGAAATAGGAGAAAAAGGGAAAAAGGGATCTCTTTCTCATCCATCTGCCTACCCTTCTGAAGTTTTGAACTCTGCGTCAGCAGTGAGCTTCCCCTGCTCGCCTGCCGGCGGCTGCCCGTGCTTCGTGACCTTTCTGGGGGCGTCGGGGTCGCCAAGCTTGTGCTTGAAGGCATCCGCAACTCCAAGAGTCAGGTTACGGAAACTACTCAGAAATTGCACCTCGGTGATGTAGGCAGGACTGTGAAGGAATCTGCTAGCTGAGATGTGATTTCAGGTGTGGTAACACACTAACAGTACCTCAGGGCAGCTAACGACTGATCTCGTGACCAAACAGAAATTGCAATCCATTCATTGAGTGGGACAGGACTGAGAAGCTGCTGCTGGGTGAGATGTACTAAGCCCAAGAAAAGCGGCTTTGGGATGATGATAATTCAATGTTCACAGGATAGGCAAAGCCCTAATTAGCCGTGATGAACAGCGGCAGTCTAACCAAACAAACATTATCTATGTAAGCAAGCTTGCACTGGCGATTGAAAGGTCTAGGAAAACAGGGCAAACTAAAAGGGGGATCTGAGATAACGGGTTCTTACTCATAGCTGGTTCTGACTTGTCACTAGAAAACACTCCCAGATTTATAATGGCTTGTCTGTTTTTGGTATCTGAGACAAGAAAAGCCAGTCGGAAACTGCAGTTCAGTCATAAGAAAAGCCAATCGGGAATTGCAGTTCAGTCAAAGCTTTGGGACGGTTAATCTGGCCGTGACTTAAACAAACACTCCCATATTTCTCACAAAACTGTAAAGAGAAGTGAAATTATTTGATTTTGTCAGTTCAGATAAGAAGAAAAGCAAACGGAAACTGCAATCCATCATTCAGTTAGTCAGGCAGGGCTGGGCCTGAGAGTGAGGCCAAGCAGAGCAACTTTCATGTAGTAAGGCAAGCAGAGCGGCTTTGGGAAGATGTAATTCAATGCTCACAAGATTAAGAGACGCCCTAATTAACCGTTATGAACACCAGCCGTCTGCTACCTCCAGAGTCCAGGGAGACAAACCTCCAGAGTAATTATTTATGTGAGCAAAGCTTGCACTGCAAACAACTACAGTAGTAGTAGCGAGTGAGTGAGTGAGGCAGGACTGAGAAGCTGCTGCCTAAGGTGAAGTAAGCCCAAGCAAAGCTTTGGGATGGTTAATCTGGTCACAGATAGCTACTCGTAACTAGCAAAACAAACACTCCCAGGTTTCTTATGGAATTGTACACGTCAAGCATCTGTTTTGGTAGTTCAGACATGAAAACCAAACAGAAACTGCAAACCAACATTCAATGAGGCGGGAGAGGAAGCTAAAGCAGAGCAGCTTTGGGATGATGATAATTTGATGCTCATAAGATTAAGAAATGGCCTAATTCGCCGCGATGAACACCGCGTTAGCAGGTACCCTAACAACCAAACATTATTTATGTGAGCAAACTTGCACTGCCTAATTACACACAGAGAGATAGATGCCTTGGTGATCTTCAGGTCTAGAAAAGCAGGACAGGATAAAAGGGGGATCTGATTCTCGTCCATCTACCTAGCTACCTATCTGATCTCGGCGTCGGCGGTGAGCTCCCCCTGCTCGCCGGCGAGTCTGGTGCTGTCGTCGGCCGGCTGCTCGGTGACCTTGTTGGGGGCTTCGGGGTCGCCGAATTTGTCCTTGAAGGCGTCCTGCCGCTTCAACCACATCATGTGCCCCTGCAAACAGCGCCATTTCCCGTCCCGCCGCGGTTAAAGATCCCGTCTTGATTGATTTCTGGAGCAGAGGGGAGGGGAGCGAGGAAGGAGATGAGGTGACGGAACCTGGGGCGCCGCCGCCCATGCGATGAGGAAGGAGGCGGCCCAGAAGCGCTTCTCCTTCACCAGCTTCGACAGATCCACCGCCGCCATCGTCGCCGACCTCCCACCTTCTGTTACTTTTTTTTTTGAGAAAATCTACCTTCAGTTTTTTTTGTGAGGGGACCTTTTTTTTGGTAACATTGAGGGACCTTTAGTATTCGGCCGGCCCAAGTAGCGTAGATCCACTTCCGGTTTCGTTTTTTTTCCTCTCTTTTTTCACATTTTATTTTAAATTTTGTGCAGTTTTTTTATCGAATCGAAAAAATCATGGAATTCATTATTTGTTAAAAAAGGATCACCAGATTCATCAGTTTTCATCGAATTAAAAAATTATCTAATTTATAAATTCTTCATCCAATTCAAAATTTGGAATCAGGAACATTTCTTGCAAATTTGCAAACACTTTTTGAAGTCATGAACATTTCTTTGAATTAAGTATTTTTTTGAAATCATCAGCAATTTTCAAACCATGAACATTTTTCGAATCCACAAACATTTTCTGAAATCGTCAATACTTTTCAAAATAACAAGCATTTTTTTGAATTCACAAATATTTCTTTGAAACCCACGAACATATTTTTTTAATTTGGGAACATTCTTTGGAATCACATATATTTTCCAAATGCACAAACATTTTTTAAATTCACGAAAAACTTTCAAATTTAAGAATATTTTTTTCAATGTCACGGATATTTTTTAAAGTCTTGAAGAGTTTGGAATTCAATATCATTTGAAATGCTGAACATTTTTTAATGAAGAAAAAAACACAAACATGAACAAAAAATGAAACAAAAAAGCACAGGGCACCCTACCATTACATGGGCCGGCCCAAAGTCACGACGTCCTCGAATCATGCGCCAACCGACTGGGGGTGGGGACCATGCTATGGCCGAAATTGAGAAACAATATAATGGAGCTAGCTACGAGCAACCACAGCAATTTGACGCTCTACACCGTACGATCGCGCCGTTGGACGTCCAGGATCCGCTCAGGCTTCCGTAAACGGGCCGCTGCTCCGGAAATCTACCGAGGCGGCCTCTGGTTTATCGGGCCAAGTATGAACAGCCCGTTCTTCTTTTCTTGGAACAACGGCCCACTCTTCTTTGCTAAGCAGCCCACGCAGAAGCATCGCTGCTGCTCCTGCAGCAGACTTTCGGCCGTCCAGCGTCGTCTCTGAGACGGCCTCGCCTGTGCCGGGAAGGGGAACTCTACGCGCGTCCCCAACTTTGGCGGACGAAACTCCTATGGCATGCTCGCCCCGTCCCCTCGCTAATTCAGTCAGGCCCCCACTTCTTCTCTGCCTCTCCCTCTCCAACCGAACCCTAGCAAGAAATCGGTCTCGTGGCCAGCGACGCAGGGGCGCACGGTCAGACGGCGGCGGGATGCTTTCACACCTCCGCATGTGCGCTAGAGTTAGCAAGATGATACGAGCGAGGAGTAGATGGGATTGATAGGGCTGTTCTGCTTTGTTAAGACTCAAGTACGATGCATGTTCGTTGGCAACATTGTTTTCAACAGCATCTCCCAATTTAGTCATGTTGTAAGTAATCAGGTGACCTTATCTATGATGCCTGCTTTCTGTGTTGATTGCAGTTCTCTGCAGGCATCTAATAAAGCATCTCGCTATTTCAATTTCAGTTTGTTATGTTTTCCCACATTAATTCGAACGTAGGCCAGGGGAAAATTCAGGATGTGATCATGCATTTTAGAGTGAACTCAAGGTTTCCTCCTTCCTGGAGCTCTTAATTCTAATCTCTTGGGCGTTTTGGGGCACCAGAATTGATTTATCTTCTAGGGCATTGGGCCAAATCTTTATTCATGCAGTGTTTTAGGAAGAGGCAAACAATACAAAGAGGGAAATGCCTTATGCCTCCCTGATAATAACCAAAAAAGAGCAAGTAAACTAAAGATTTTTGAGAACTCACATAAGATGACAACTGATCTAGCTGATTATTTCTATCAAGTTCAGAAATGTCTGTTAAAGAAAGAGGATTGTTTTGCTATTATGTTATCTACAAGGCCGCTTGTCAGTTTTTGTGTGGTACTGGATTTTCCTAATCTTCACTAGCTAATGTCTCATAATTATTCCACACAAGAATTAGGTTAGCATCATTGTTTATAAAATGTTATTATTATTATTATTATTATTATTATCTATTTATTTATGAATAGGAAGCTCTGGAGTTGAGAGAGCAAGGCTCCGGATTGGTCTAAATGCGCATATTCTGGTCCGACAAACGTGTTGCAAATTACCATGCAGCATTGTAAGTTAATTTTTTGCTTAGTGTACCAGGTATGTCGACTTCGTGAAGAAAATTACAATATTTCCTAGAGCAGAGTATTTCTATGATCTTTTTATGTGCGATTTAGCTATTTTTCGTATTTTAGCACGTGGATATATAGATTTCATAACTTGATTCTTCACAAAAATCATTTCGATGGTGGTATACTGTCTCATGTATGTGAATACATCCTTTACTATCTAAACATGCGAGGTTCTCACTGAGTACTTTAGGTTTGTTCATCTTTGCGGAATTGCATGTTTGTTTCTTTGGCATTGCCGAAAGGCTGCCAATGTCAACCATACGGATTTGGTTATATGTTACAACTCCTAATTTCTCGAATATTTCTATCATTCTTTCCTTAAGATGGACGGGGCGCAATAAAGCGTGCCTCTATGGTCTAGTGTGATCATGGTCCTCGAGCGTCAACTGCTTACAGACGCAACGTGTTCCTATTCATTGAGCGCCAACTGGCTAATTGTTCCTGTATGAGTTGCAGTGTAGAATGTGTGGTTGACTAGATAGCCTCTCACTTCAGTGGAATCTCCAATATTGGCGGCAATTGAGTTTGAATAAACTTTTTGAATTTGTTTAAAAAAATGTAGCATCCCTATGACATGACCAATGTTCACATCACTCTGGCAAAGCTCAACAAGATAGTTCATGTTCATAACTTCCACATCATGGATGCGAAGGCCTTGCCTAATCTTGGCATATTGGAAAATGTAACCAAGTGTGCTAGCAAACACACTAAATTTAGCTTCCCTCCTCTGAGTACCTTCAATGAAGAACAGTTTCATAGAATTTTTGCCTCCGGGTGAGTAATATTTTGTGCACACATATTAGAGGCAAAAGTTTTAACTACTCACACTTATCTTAAATACCGTGGAGGACATCACTATTATCCTTGATATGCCCTTGCATCACCTCATGATAAACTTTATATTGCATCCTATTCCAAAAGTGAGGATTTACTTCTTCATTCCTTTCTTGGTATATGGATTGGCAATGCACATGGAAACAAAATCCTTCTTCTTGACCTCCTTGTAGTCACCCCTAGATGCTTATGTATTTTGAGACTTTTTTGTTGAGTGCTTCATGACATGCTTGAATTTCTTCTTTGGTGTGAGAAATGCTTCGATTTTTTGGGTCAATCATACCAAAACAAAAAGGGATTGCCAAAAATAACAAAACCAAAAGAAATCTTCTGTGTGAAAAAGAGTCTACCCTCCCCCTCCCAATTTCCGAATTTAATTTCCACATTAATGGAAAGAAACGAAACAAAGTGAGGACAAAAGATTCTCGTGTCCCTATTGGTCCATCCGGTCCTCCCACGGATCGCGCCCCTGAGCTAATCATAGCCAACATCTTCCAGATCCAACGGTGAAGACCACTGGTGACACGGATCGCACCATCGAAGCCGATCCCAGTCGCCCGCACCATACAGATCCGACAGTGGAGAATGCTGGTCACACGGATCACACCCCCTCCCACGGATCGTGTGCCTCCGAGCCGATCCCTGCCGCCCTCCCTCCTAGATCCGACGGCGCGACCGCGCGTCACGTGAATCGCGCCTGTTACCACGGAGCACCCCCCCCCCTATAAAAGTGGTGCCCTCGCGTTCACATCCATCACCGCCGTCCACCCACAATTCGAGATTCAAGTTCGCCGAAGAAGAAGGGGAGATGACCGGGAGGAAGAGCGGCGAGCGGAAGAAGGCGGTGACCCGGTCCATGAAGGCTGGACTCCAGTTCCCCGTCGGCCGCATCGGGCGCCATCTCAAGAAGGGCCGCTATGCGGACCGCATCGGCTGGGGCGCCCCCATCTACCTCGCCGACGTCCTCGAGTACCTTGCCGCCGAGGTAACCAACCAACCACCGATCTCGTCCATTCCTACTCTTCTTGTGCTGGACTGGGTGGTAACTGATCTCATCTCGGTGTGCTATTTGAACCACAGATGTTGGAGTTGGCGGGCAATGCGGCCAAGGACAACAAGAAGACCCGCATCATGCCGCGCCACCTGCTTATCGCCACTCGCAACGACGAGGAGCTATCCAAGCTGCTTGACGGCATCACCATCGCCCATAGTGGCGTGTTGCCCAACATCCACTCTGTGTTGTTCTCCAAGAAGGCCAACACGCTCTAGCATAGCAACTTCAAACAGAATCCAAGAATAATTGTTTACCTTATGAGTTTTTGCTTAGCTTGGATTCTCGTACCAAGAAAAGGAGTAATGTCTTTTCCCAATTTTTAAAACATAAACTTTGTTTTCCATTTTCCCCATAATGCGCATCTGCAGGCAGACCCGGGATTAATTCTTCACATGTTGTGTTGTGTAATGACAATGGTCTACTGGATCATAATAATGCAGAAATATCTCCTTCCCATATACATCTAGTACAGTTAATACTTATAGTGCGATCCATATTACTCGCTGGAAAATGAATGTAATCATCTACCTGCCAGATGCCGTATACCGACAGACGGTTCCTTTTTTTTAGAACAGATGTTGTTGCAGTTTGTTCAGAATGAAGAGAAAGTTCTGCGGTGAAGTGGATGACAAGATCATTGCAGTCTTCACTGATGATATAAGGTACATGCATTTCAGTGAAGAACGAGAACGATGCTATGTGCACGATGGTTTCTGTCCGATTTTAGCACGATCTAGCAGATCAAGCCGTCGATGTGTACATTTTTTCAAGCATTTTGGTGAATAGCTGAAATCAGTCAAGGATGCCTATTATGTAATACATTTTTTCTGGCTCAATGGCATGTTATAGATTCTGACATTTGGAGAAAAAATAACTATGGCATACATACGAATTTAAATAGACAAGAACCGCAATAAGGAGATGGCTGACTCCCTGCCAAAAATAAAAGTGCTACTAATGAGGGCACAAATCCTTCCCTCTCCTCCTCCCCTCGCGTCCACTCCCCTCGGCCAGCGCCAATGGCCCCAGATCCCGAGCCGCCAGTTCCCTCCCCTCTGCTCCAACCCCAGCCGCCGCTGCCGCCGGCAAGGGCCGCAGTGGCGGTGGGCCCTGCACCGCAGATCCAGGGCGGGTGGTAGCCACGGCGGACCCTGTGAGGCGGAGGTGGCGTCTCATGCGGGGAGGCTGGGGGCGGCAGTCAGGGCGGCGCCCTTGCCGCGCGACAGCGATGGGATCCTTCATGGCCGGCAGTGTGGCGGCTGCGTGCGCATGGGTGGCTCCGATGGCTACGGATCCGGCGTCCCGTCCAGATCCGTCTCGGTACGGCCTTGGCCGGCTCGTGGCGCGAGGAGGACCGGTGATGGCGGCTGGAGGCTCCCTACCAGCGTGCCGACGGCGACCCTCGTCTCCACGGCGAGGCTCCATTCGGTTCCAGCCAGCTGCGAGGTTGGGGGGACGCGACTTTCGATGAAAATCGCGCCGATTTCTGTCATGGCGGACGATGGCGGCGTCTATGACGTTGTTCCCTTCTCGAGGCATTGTTGTTGCAGGTCGTGGCACTCCACTCGTCATATTCCAGAAAAAACACTAGATCTGGATCTATCGGATCAGACGATGATGGTACCTTTGATGTTGTTGTCCCTTCTGAGGGCATCGTTTTGGAGCAAGTGCTGGTTGGACGGGACAAGCGAAAGAGCGGTGTCTCATCCACCGCAGGGCCGGCGGCAGATCCCGGTGACATGGCGCTGCGGAGGTTCGGCGACGGCCGCGTGTGGACGGGTACATGCAGCATGGTGGAGTTGTCTGACGTCGTGGTGGCGTCGACAGCAGGCCAGGCAAGGTCGATGGGTCAGTTACTGCTCTTGAGATGGACCAGTGAAAGATGGTGGCGGCAGCCTCTGAGAGTGTGTCGGTCCGGTATGGGATCCAGTCCCGATATGTGGCTGAACTAGGGCATCCGACTTTAGATGTTAGGGTTTGGTGTGATGTTCGTTTGGTATTAGGCCCGGATATTCGGCACACCTTCATCAATTGGATAAGGGTAGTCACAGGTGTTGCCTAGATGATGGCTTCAGGCTGACTGATGTATTATTTTATATGGTCTTTGTGAATAATTAATAAAATAACCGCATGCACCGTCCAGATATAGAGACCAAGGGTCTATCCTCCTTTTCAAAAAAAAGAAGAGAAAACTAATGAGGGCACAAAGCATCAGGCTGACATTGTAAAGGGCCAAAAATAAAAGTGCGGCTAATAAAAGCGTCAGTGTTCCATGATAGTTTTGGTTCTCAACGAATTCTAAGTGCAGAGCGGTGCAGACATGGCATCATTATTTTACAGGAATCCTTATGCTTGATGAATGACGGTCTGGCAGCTTGTCACTCTCTTGAGGATGTGAACAAGTCATGTAACTTGGAAGCCTTGAGAGAGGTAAGCCAGATAAATAAGGAGGAACTCCATTTCTAGCTCCCTTGTGCAATATGTGCTAGGCTCGTCGAGCTAAATATGAGATGTTTCATGCTGAATCATGTGTGTTTTAAGAAATGCAACTCTCATGTTGGTCAAATGTCCCAAATTAAGCTCGAATTTACAACTGTCCTTTAAATAAAATTGCCAAAAATAAGCTCTAATTTACAAAACAATCGTGCACTCATTAGTTACGATATGCCAAATTTGCTGCAACATACATAATACTCTTCTGGATGGATAGCAAGATTGGGACTTGGTGCCATGTTCGAGTCTTAAGATCAGGGCATGAATTGTTTCCCAAACCAGCGTTAATGTTGATCTAAAACAAAAAGAATCGAATTAATTATGTGTCTTAGTGAAAGAGAATTCCCTGACCAATCAGGTGTTGCTCTGTTTTTTTCAGTGTCAGCAGTCAGAATGCTTTGCCAAGCTAAAAGATCGGACGACTAGTCTATTGTAAAGCCGGTATAGAAATGATCTTAAAATAAGCACTCCCTCTGTATAGTAATATAAGACTTACATCACTAAAGTAGTGATCTAAAGGTCTTATATTACTTTAGAGAGGGACTACTAATGATCATGCAAATGTACAGAGTGCATACATGTCCAGGGCTCCATTAACATTAGACTCTGTGCACAACAACAATACAAGATAAGTACCTTGCTCATCTATAGCAATAGCGGCAGATCAACCTCTGTTTGCATGATGCACCCGTATGTTCTTCCCATAAAGCACCTGAATGAATCATCATGTTGAATTTTTTTACCTCATCAAGCGACAAAAAATGCATTGTGATAGCAAAATCGGCAAGCAGGATAACTGAGAAACTAGCATGATCTTAATAAATAGGTTTGCAAATCGGATATCAGAGAGGAAGTCTTGGCAGATCTCAAACGGATTAGAGACTCAGGTTCAGGCATCAAACAGATTGACCTGGAACTGAACACCAGGCATCCTGAACCATAAGTCAGCAGTAATCTTGATTTGTTCAATGTTCACACGGATTGTTCCTAACATTTACATTTAGATTTAGTTAAAACTGCACAAAGTGTTTGCACGAAATTTAGCTAGACAGAATAATGCATTATTGCTGGAGGTATGATTCTCAAACTAGCATGAAGCAAAGGATCTCGAACATCAGTGAGTGCAGAGTGGCGCTCAGTGCTGCGCTGTGTGGATTTTCTGGAATGCCTAAAATCACTTCACTGAAGTCAGTTGAGGGACATGCTTGCCTGAAAAAACAGTGGTGTTTCAGTTCCTTCGTCAGCATAATTAACAATATTAAGTGGATGGGGTTATTCGCACGATTGTAAAAGCATAAATTCCAGACAGAGCATCTTGCTAAATCACTGTTCAGTCCCCGTGAAGGAACCACGAATCAAGGTACAAATGTGTGCTACTCTCAGAAGCTTCACAAGAAATGCCTTTACCAAAGAAAATCTAGATACAAACTGTCTTTTTTCCATTTCCAGTGACGCACATGTGCGCATCGACGCTGTAGTCGTCTGTCCTCACAACTAGGGACCCATTCTTCATTTCAAGTCTTGTGGGATGACAGTGATATATTTCTTGAGGCATTAAAAAATGGGTAAAAGTTCTCTCGAGGCAATTGTTTGCAACAGTGATCTGTTGGATTATAGTGCAGGAGTATTTCCTTCCTGTGTTACATCCAGTACAATCAATACTTACAGGTGCAGTTACACAACACCATAGCCTGTAAGAAATGAATCTCATACCGTATCTGCCAGATCCCAGAAGCATATTGCTTTCAGTTATTCGCCCATTTATCAGTTAATGCCATATACCCATGTATGAGTCCATGATGTGTCTTTGAGTAAGGTCATGTGCCTACAATGGGTCAAGTTTGGTTCCAACTCAGCCACTGGGATGTTATTGCTGTTTGTTCAGTATCAAGACAAGGTTCTGCAGGCGGCAGCTATGTTGTTTTGAACAGGATGACAAGATCATTTCAATGATGATACATGGTACAGGCATTTGAATGATAGCAAGGAGCTCCTCGTTATCGCCTAGCTGAAATTAGGCAATGATTGTACCCTGCAGTCGATGTCTTTCTTCTGCTTAATAACATTTATGCAGAAATAATATGAGAGTCTGCAGCTTTTCATTGCCCATGCCTGGTTATTTTTACTGGCTACATTGGCGTTTTGGTTAGGTTATAATTTCAGACATTTGGAGGAAAAGTACCTATGGTATGCGACTTCAGATGGATGCATAATAAGTCTTAGCTCTTGCAACCAGTAACAACTATTCTAACATCTAACTAATATGCATTGGTGTGGATATGCCATCCTTGTTTCACATGAAACCTTATGCTATTTACAACATAGAGGCCTAAGAAAGTACTATAAAGCTGCTTGATGAATCACGGTATCGTGCCTCATTACTTGCTTGAGGATGTTAACAAAGATGTGGAGACGTTAGAAGCATATTCATCCTGGTTCCTGTTTTGTGCTACTCTCCTATACTAGTGGAGGTACAGCTCACCTACATTCTGAAGTCATTTTCTTAAAAAAAGAGGACGACCCCCGGCCTCTGCATCTGGACGATGCATACGGCCATTTTATTAATTATTGACACAAGACCTTACAGAGTCATACAACAATAAGCCTAAAGCCACCAACTAAGCAACATCTGTCGCTATCCCTATCCAGTTGATGTAGGGGCGCTAAAAGTCTAGGCCTAATATCAAACAGACCTCGCAGCCAAACCTAACATCTAAGACTT